AAAGAGAGAAATATCACTGTTCGTTTCTCCATTTGCTATACTCTTCCCCTGGCATTCATATTCAGCCACTACTGACAACAGGGTACTAGAATAGATAGACCATCATGCAGCTGCTCATGCATTCTTATACATTCAATATTTTTCTAATTTTTATATGCGTGAGGCTTGTTCTCATTCTCTTACTCTCAGTTTGTTCCCTCTGTTGGGCTTTTTCAATCATACAGTGAAGTCATGAAGAATGAAATGAAAATAATTTTAATAGAAGCAATGGGCAACGATTTTCACACAATCTGGATAATACGGTATTGCATGCCCTGTCTGTTATGCATTTCCTACTCTACTTTTATTAAGTTTTGATAATTCAAAGTAGAAAAACTACTTGTCCAGTGCTGCCATGTTTTGAAATGCCATATTAGAATGAAATCTGATGTTTAACCAACTGCTCCTGTTATCTCTAGGATTTGATGGCTTTGCTGCTATCTGTGTTTATCCTTTTGGCATAGTATCTGTATTTAGATTAAGTCCCTGCAATGTTTCGGCATGTTACTTCCTATATAAATCTCATTCTTTTTGATCATGCTAGACCTATCTGTAATTTTCCTGTGTTTTCATTTGTGCTCAGATCACTTCTCTAATCACAACACGATCCATGTACAGCATTAATATTCTGCTTACTCTTCTACATCACTACTAAAGGAAACAAATAAGGAAGAAACTAAAACAATCTGTGCTATCCCACTGGCTAAGTCTATTAGTTTAGAGCTTACTTACTATCTTCAACAGTCTATTGATGTTAATACCGGGGCCTACATCAACACCAGTCTGTTCCCCCTTCGTAGGCTTGAGGATAGCAGTGACAGGTAAGAACTAGGTAAGGTAGGCAGAGAGCAAGAGATGGAAACAGCTGAACTTTTATAGGGCAGGGGGTATTCACAATATCACAAGTTGCAGAAACTTCCTCTAAGGCAACAGGCAACAACATTTCTCAATCCACATCCTGCTGTTAAAGAGAAATTGAGGTCATCCAATATCATACAAAAGTTAGCCATACACTCAGGATTGAATTCTAAGGTTTTGGCTTAGAAAAGCATTCCAATTTAAGGGCAGTGTTCACACAAGTGAAAAAAAGATAAAATTTGAACACTTAAAACTGGTCATTTTGAAGATGGCTAAACTCAAGCATGTGACTAAAAGCTTTCCTGAAGAAGATCCCAACCATACAGCAAATTGCTAGTTGTATTCTTATTTTTGTACCATTCACTGATTTTGAGTCTAAGTGGTAGAAACAAATGTGCCTAGAATTTTTATTTCTCGTAAACTTATGCTGCTTATAAGTATATACAATTTGGTTTTCCTCAGTATTTTCCTCCCTCCTGAGCAATAACTATTACTGTGCTGTAAAAAATAAGAATATTCTTCACTTCAACGAGAAGCAAAGCAGCAATATGTGTCTAAAGAGAAAGTTTCTTACGGAGTAGTGAAATAAGCACAAAAAAATACCATCCAAATGTCTGTCTTGTACAAAAGTGAAACATTTTCTTACACAAATTATAGTCCATGGTAAGGCCATATTTTAAAATACTTATATAGATAAGAAATTGGAGCATCGCTTTATGACATATACATATTTTAATACATGATTTAGCAGGTAATGGATGGTGCTGATAAGCAATTGTCACTGAAATCTTAGGTCAGTCAGTTATCCACAAATTAACAAATTATTTCCCATTATGATGCATCAGCCACAATGCAAGAAATACAAATTCCATTATTTTAAATTAGCACAGCCTCCTTATTACCTCCAGATAAAATAACTCTGAAAATCATTTATATGTGATATTTTAAAGGACTGAAAGTATTAAAAGAAGATTTATCATTCCAGAACAACAAGATCTTTAAAATATTTTGAAATCTGACAGAAGACAAATAATAGTAGTGAGTTAAAGGTGAAAAGGGTATCTTGAATATAGTACAATTCGTCTCCAACATGATTTATAGACCCAACCTGCAACATGATAGCAAAAAAATAAGGTTTTTCATGGAGGTGCCTGAGGTCTACAAATCTCATTACTGTCATTTCTTTTCCATCTCTTAAATTTAATAATGTTTATTTTTAAAGGACAAAACAAACGTTGAAACACATCTCCAAAATAGCCTATATAGCACTCTCTTCATAGTATGAGCTTCTCACGTACTTATTATCTAGCTTTAAATCTACAAAATTTATAAAATTCATAGGTACAAAAATTCATTCTTCTAAATACTGAAATTTCTGTTTTGAAATAAGAAAAATTTCTTATGCAACAAACAACAAATTTAATTGAATTTATTTGATCAACAGCATCTTTAGAACACAGTTTTAAGCAGTATTTTCAACTTGGTCTATTTTATGTAAACTGTCAACGTCAACAGTATCTTCAAAATACAATATTTAAAAATTATCTTCCAGTCTAAAGTATTACATTTCAACTTAACTTGTCTGTGAGGAAAAAAAACAAAACAAAAACAACGCACAGCAGATTTCTTTAATACCTGGCAAGAGGAATAAATGTTTTAGACCTAGGGATATGTCAGCATCTGTAATACAGTATGTGTCAATTTTGTTCTGTAAAATATACCTTGCAGATGCAAACCATTTAATGTATAAAAGAAAGATTAGTAAAGAAAAGAAACATTCGTTTATTAGGTAAATGATGCCTTAAAGAGATTCTAAAATGAAGCTTTTGTGTACATTCTAAAATGAAATGCTAAAAAACAAGGCCAAAGATCAGAATGAATGCCATGAATATATTCAGAGATATGTCTTTATGTAAATTTAAGTTTGAGGTAGGGATGGTGTTAGGAAACAACAGACAAATGGATCCAATTGTCTGACATTGAGCAGGTATGTGCAAGTCACAAAAAGTGAAACAGTCTTCTCCAACTTCACATACGTTTTTATGATGATTAAAATTACTATTTAACATCGATATTGGCACAGCTCACTAAGGGATTTCTGCACATGGGTAATAAGCATTCCCATCCCTTCAGGCCTTTCACTATGACTATCAGAAATGTAATGCTTTAAAGTAAATTTGCCAGAGGCACCTTTTCTACAACAGTAAGAACATGGAGACAAAACACAGTATCATTTTATGATACTCTGGAGAGCAGCTGTGTATCGTGTCCCCGGGAGGCAGACTGGCTAAACCATTCAGAATGTCCCCAGGAAATACTGCTGTTTAGCCTATCTGCATTTCCCCACCACAAATTCTGTCTTTTAAACAATGACACAGTTACTTATTCCTTTTGTTCACATATGTTGAGATACAGAGAATAACCCAATGGCTTGGTCAGTCCCTCTAACCTAGGCATAAGGAATCAACTTTTAGTAGACTTTAATTTGTGTTCTTGTGGACAAAGTAACAGAGAAGCCCAGGGGGCATTTTATTTTTCAGTCAAAATATCAACGTGCCCAACTTCAGAAAATCTTAAGAAAAATATTTTGTTTTTCTGAGGAAATGAAATGATCATGTTATATGTAAACAGCATTTAAGTACCGAACATTAAAAATATAAGTACTCACAGTAGCATGTTCCCCTAAGCGGATTTCCAAGATACCTATTTTCAGAGTCACAGCTGCAGGGGGAAAAAAAGACAAAACCAAACATTCCCATTAAACACACTGTAGTTTTAATAAAAATGCAGCTAGAATATTTATTCCAAATAGCTCGAGTTTCATTACTAGTTGCACAAATACATGAAAATAAAAAGTATTGCATATAGTTCTTAAATAGGGCGTGCTACCTTCTGGAGGCACCTCTCTCTCCTTATAAAAGAAACCCAGAGTGACTAGGCTCTTGAATAAGGCACTTCAGTCATGTGCTTAAGGTCGGTGCCTATCGTAGGACTTACCACAGGTGGTATGTCTCCGCTAATGAACAAAAGAGAGCCAGGCAGGGAGGCTGAGCACTGGATCTTTTATTATCCATGCCGCTTCAGTGATAGCTTACTCCCTTGGCTGGTTTTGATCCCTCCACTGGCCCTCTCCAAGACAATAGCCGAGCATCAATCAGGGGGATCATTCACTACAGAAAATGTTCCTAAGTATGTCTTCCTCTAACATACACAGTCCTGAAATACTACCAGACCAGACTTTGCACCCTCAGACACTTTCCACGCCTCTTCATGCCATCCCTTCAGGGACGGAACATACTCTCTCCATTTCCAACCATACAAACACCACACTGGTGGGCTGCAATACATCTTTCATATTATTTCCAACTCTTTAAATGAAAAAACAACAACAAAAAAAACCCAAACCCCAAAATACCCCTAAGCATAAAATAGTGATTACATATTCACAGCACTACAGAGGACCAAAGCTATGCTGTCTGCTCTAGAGAGGCTAGTCCTAAGGTATGTAGCTGCAACTAGACAATGCCAGCTGGCTCTGGGTCCAGAAACTGTAGCCATACAGGTAGCACTACAAGCACAGCAGTACCTCAGCTACTTAGCTTCTCTGAACTTCAGAGGCAATCGCTTCTCTTCATTGACCACCTAGGGAACTAGGTGAAATTTAGACTGAATACAATGTATTGATGCTGCTGACAAGACGTGTACATGATAAGAGCTGGAGAAATATCTTTCTTATTGATAAGATATATAGTTATTTTGAGAGACGTGAAATATCCTACAGAATTTCCCAGTGATCAAATTGAGTTATACAGCATTTCTCTAAAAATGCCAAGCACCTTAATAAAAATGATTATCCTGCTTCTGGTTTTCTTGGCTATTCCACAGAAATCTCCAGCAAGATTATAATTTTCCATTAAATACACAGAATGATTCATAAAACAAAGAGAAAGCTTATCGCTAAATTCCATATAAACATTTTCCCAGAGGAAATCTGGATCATTTAATAGCTTGGACTACCTTTTCATTACTTTTTTCTAAGAAACTTAAATTGCAAGGAAATCTTTTGTCTTATTTGATTTGTGAGTAATATTAAAAAACTTTCTAACTTGGATGTCACATCATTTAACAAGTTGCAGACTGTAGAATAATGTTTGTATTTCTGTTGGTCTCTTCATTAGTTTCCAACTGGTGATTCTTAACATGCTCATTTTTATTAAAAAATAGGCAGAGAATCTCCTTGACTCTTTGTTACAATATCATAAAGAAAATAATCAACAGTAGCATTAAAATAGAAAAAGCAGAAAAAAAGATGTTCTGGACTCTGTCCTTGCCCACTCCTGGTCTCATGTCAGTGTGAGAACTCTTTGCAGGTTCCACTCTACGGAAATTCAACTTTTTTTATATAGGAAAACTTTTGCTTAAACACCAAGAAACCAAAAACCATACACTTCAACTCTAACTGCAGCACACAATTTGTGGTCTTGTCCACACAGACACTCTGGCCCTACAGTCCTTTCCACAGAATTTAGAAGAGGAATTGATGTTGAAGTATCTCTCTTGTATGTACTTATAAAGGAAAGGAGAAAATAATCTCAAGTAATAATATTGGTCTGCCTGACACACTTTTTTCTAAACATCACAAAACACTAACTAAATTCTTCAAAGAACAGCTCACTACTTAAACAGATTAGGCTTGTAAAAATAGACTCGTGTCTGAAAGTGTCTTTACATTGGCAATTTTGAAAGAAAAAGCTAAGCGAAAAGGATCATTTTTGAATTAAGATTTTAAAATAATTTCCTTTTCTTGTATGTAAGATTGTCACATAAATGAGACAGTGTATCATGCAACAAATTATAACAACATGATAGGGATTATTGTAAGAGGAATTTTTTGTTTTCTTCTGAATTGTTTCAAAGGCAAAGTGGAATATTAAATATAGGCAGTATTCAGAACATGCCGAGGTTTTATACCAGAACACAAAAATGTATTTTATATAAATAACTGTGTATTCAGAGTCTTTTCGCAGACAAGACAAGCAGCTTTCTCAGAAGGCAAGAAACTTACCCTGCTGCTCACTGATAATGGCACTGATTTATGTATGACATGGAAGAGCAATGCCCGACCACCAGTAACAATAAGCTGTACTTTCCATCAGGAGAGACTAAACAAATTCTGCTGTGAACTCTTGCCAGCCACAGCACTCACCTGTGGCGATTTGACCCAGGGTCTAAAAGAAGCTTAGTTTGCTCCTGACACAAAACAGGACTACTTTTTTTTTTTTTAAATCTTGAAAATCTTTATGAAAGGGAAAGCTGTTTCCATACAGCTTCCCTTCTCCATTCAGCTACCCCTAATCAGACGAAACCATCTCCTGTGGATCAATAATTACCAGAACCCAGGGATTTCCAGCATCACATATACCTTTCAGTATTTTTATTTCTATTTATATTACAGAAAAAACAAAAAAATACATAAAATAAAAATATCTATAAAATCTGTCTAACGCACCACATGTTTCACTACTTAACAAACACACAACAGAATGCTTAATACGAAAATTACTAGACACAGAATACTTTGCAATATACAAGTATTCATAAGTATTCATTCAAACCCAAATAATTACTAATTCCCTGACAATTATAGAAGTGATCTTCAAGCATCTTGAAGAGAAAATGGCAATGCAATTTTACAGCCAGCCGTTTCAGTTGTTTCAGCATAATGCATGATGAAATGATAAAATACGCATAATAAAAGAAGAACAGTGAATTACACCACAGCAAAGTATTTTGATATATTATCATATATATTATACTTTCTGTATTGAGAGCCTCACGGAAGACATTGTACTCAAGGAGCTAGTGATCTTGGGCAAGGCATGTCTGATCTACTGGCCCTTGTTCGTCAGGCTTGAGAAGCCCATCTGTGAGCATGAGTAGCCGCTGTAAGGGAAGGTGCTGGAAGGTCCCGTGCCAGCCTGTGCTGTGCGCTGGCGGGTGTTATCAAAGAGAACCTTCCAGCTTGTCAGGAGGAGATACACTGTTTTGTTTTTACACAAGATAAAAGGCGCCATGGTATGGGAGGGAGGAGGAACCTTGCCACAGCCAGGATCTGTGCAGCACACTGGGGGAATATCCATGCTGGGTTCATCCAGTGCGGCATGCACATAGGGTTCCCAGTAACTGAAGGGGCATAAGATTTACTTGCTATCTGTATTCCTCTTTTTGTTCCATCTTAATAAAACAGCTAGTTTGTTATGCCATTTGTTACCAAGCCTTATTGAGATACAGAAAGAACCCTGCACTGCCTCTCTTATGCTTCCTCCTCTGTCCCCTGGTGCAGAACACTTTCATAATGTATATTAGGAATAGCATGAGGTAGAGTTCTTACTAGTTAGGGAAGCTTGCTTTAACTCAAATGAAAGATGCTATTTAAACACTTGGTTTTCAGCAGAGTGAAAAAATGAAACTAATAGGATTAGGAATACATCTAAAATTGTTCACGTGAGTATGTCGGCTAGGTTCTGAATAAATTTAGTTTTGTCTTTTAATCCTATCCTATTTCATTAAGCATATGTATTGCTCTGCATTAGTCACTGTCGTGGTTTAACCTGGCAGGCAGCTACACACCAAACAGCCGCTTGCTCACTCCCCCCGGTGGGATGGGGGAGAGAATCAGAAGAGTAAAAGCAAGAAAACTCATGGGTTGAGATAAAGACAGTTTAATAAGTAAAGCAAAAGCTGCGCACACAAGCAAAGCAAAACAAGGAATTCATTCGCTATGTCCCATCGGCAGGCAGGTGTTCAGCCATCTCCAGGAAAGCAGGGCTCCATCATGCGTAATGGTTACTTAGGAAGACAAAATGCCGTAACTCCGAACGTCCCCCCCTTCTTTCTTCTTCCCCCAACTTTATATGCTGAGCATGACGTCATATGGTATGGAATATCCCTTTGGTCAGTTGGGGTCAGCTGTCCGTCCCCTGTCCCCTCCCAACTTCTTGTGCACCCCCAGCCTGCTCGCTGGTGGGGTGGAGCAGAAAAGGCCTTGACTCTGTGTAAGCACTGCTCAGCAGGAACTAAAACATCCCTGCATTACCAACACTGTTTCCAGCACAAATCCAAAACATAGCCCCATACTAGCTACCATGAAGAAAATTAACTCTACCCCAGCCAAAACCAGCACAGACACTAACTATGTTTCCAATTACAAAATTTCCTGTTCGCTGAATTATTTCCTTATGAGCTTTACTCATTGTAGTAATCTTTGTACCTTTTCCAAAAGCCAGCACACACTTGACCATATGTGAAGCATAATATATGCCTCGTATCTGTGAAATGGGAGCTACACTCGTTACTTTATGTGCCATAGGGCTATGATCATTTGCTTTAAGTGGTAATAATGAATGAGCAGTTCCACTCTGGCATGCCTCCAAAGATACAGCTCCCATTTACGAGGGCAAATGGAGGAATGCTCCTACCAGGTTACGTACAAGTTCTACGGTTTGTTCCAATACAAAAGTATTCAATTCATCAAGCTCACTGACCTTCTGATGGCCTGCTATTAGCAGTTATTCCCCAACCTCTCCCTCAATTACCCTTTCAAAACTGAACCATTTTCTTTTACTTTCTTTTTTTCTCCCTGTATTTCCTGGGAGTTCAAAATAAGTGTTATGGACAAATGCATTAAAAAAATAACTTTTCCCATGTTTATGACCAAGTGA